ATTACTTAGGGGCTTACAATTACACATAGCTTAAATAACTTGAAAAAATTGGAGCCTAGGTGAAAAAAAGAAGACAGGTATGTAACCCACACACCTCGGCTATGTCTACACTGGCGCCATCTTGCCCCAGAGATATGCAAATGAGGCTAAGCTTGGAATATCGCCGAGCCTCATTTGCATATCTAATGAGCCACCATTTTTGCAGAAGAGGGTCTTGCGCCAGAAGGAGCTGACTGCACCCTCTTGCGCAGGCCGCTACGCTGATTATTTTCAGGAATAACAGCATTGCGCAAGAGGGTTTTTCTTGTGCAAAAAGGGGCAGTGTAGACAGCTCCTTCTGGCACAAGAGCCTCTTCTGCAAAAATGGTGGCTCATTAGATATGCAAATGAGGCGTGGCGATATTCCACGCTTAGTCTCATTTGCATATCTCTAGCACAAGATCGCGCCAGTGTAGACATAGTCCTAGTGTGGTTCACTGTCCCATGCAGTGGCATTTAGACCACTTACAGAGAGAGCTAAGAGCAAGGGAGCTCTACAGCCCAAGCTCAGAGCCAGCTGACTATTGCTCAAGCTGTAGAGGTTCCTCCGCTAAGGTCCAGAGGTCTCAGGTTCAAATCCGCCCAGTGGTGATTAGATGTTCCTTTGCAGCTTCAAAATGAACTGGAAGTTGGGTAGCTGAAGCAATAAGCAGTGGGTGTGTACAGTCATTATTTGTAGATTGCCGGGCCAGAAGGGACCCCTGCGATCACCTGGCCTGGTCTCCCATATAACACAGACTGCAAGACTTCCCCTGCCAAGTCATTTCTAGCGCAAATCTTTAGATTTCTTATCTAACTCCTCTCCCCCAGAGCTACTGAAGGAAAGCAGGCTGTCAGCCGAAATCCTGGCTGAAAATCTCTGGAAAGTAAAGCCTGCTCCTGAGGGTCAAGCTTCCACATTGCTGTGTGCTAGAAGAGCTCCTCGCCGTTGTGTTTCGTGACGTGCCTAATTGCTTTGGGCAGCTGTCACATAAGAAACATTTGTAAAGCTTTCATTATTGAATCTCCCTCACACAGGCCAAAGGGGCACCGCTTCTTTCCACAATTGCTGCAAGCCACGGTCAATTTAGCCTGCTACATTTACTTATGACAACAAGTCTCGTTTGCCAAGGCCTGAGTGCACCGGGGTGTATCGAGCTGGGAATACTTTTCTCTTCCCTACTCTCCAAAATTCTTTTACCCATAACAACAGCGGTTGTCACGCAGGGAAAAGACCAACAAACCTGCTTAGCGACAGCACACGCGGAAAGCCAGCTGCCTGGCGCCACCGGTGTCCTTCCTTTTCTGCTCCCACTCGATGAGAAACCTGGTAGTTTGGAATTGCGGTTTCCCACTGGGGGCTAAGTAACCCACACCACCCCATTGCAGCAAACCAAATGGACAGAGTGGTTTTAAAATGAGATATGTACCTAAAATGCCATTCACATTCCCTGCAGCATTTGGAGGTGTTTATGAAGGGACTAGTGGGCCCTAAAGATTTCCTCTTTGCATGGGTGTGAAAACTACCATTTTTCTGGCCCCTGGGGATTGAACCTGGGACCTCGGCTCTACAGTGGTAAGGCTCGTAGACCACGAGACATTCAGTCACCTAAATGTCACTGAAATCAACCAGCATTAGGCACCTTTGAGGGTTGGAGCCTAACTCAGAGTCAAGTCACATGCTGACCAGTGAGTTGTACTAGGAGGCTACGTCTACACTGCAGGGTTTTTGCGCAAGAAGCCTTTTGCGGGAGAATTCTTGCACAAAAATGTCTTGTGCAAAAGCGCGTCCAGACCTCAAAGCGCATCGCCAAAGCAATGTGCTTTTGCACAAAAGAGCATCCATACTGCATGGCCATCAGAATGGCCATCAGAGCACCTGTGCTTTTGCCGATAGGGGTTTCTTGCGCAAAAACCCCTCTGGAGTGTCCACACTTGCCTTTTTGCACAAGAGCTGTAGCGCAAAAAGGAGTGTGCCTTGTGGGGAGAGGAATAACTGTAGCACAAAAAGCCTTCTGTTCTGTCAATTATTTTGCACAAAAATGTGCTTGAGACATGGACGCTCTGCCAGTTTTTACACAAAACTGGCTGCTTTGGCACAATAACCTTGTTGTGTAGACGTAGCCGGAGTGAGGACTGTGGCGTACAAGGCTTTGGAAAAGGCCGATTTGCTATATTATTTCCATTAAAACAGGAATTAAAAATAGTTTTTTCCTACTTTTTTTCTTCACACATAAGAGTTTACCACAGGGAAAATGTGTTCCACAAATCTAAATCCCCCTTCCATGCAATAGCGCTGGGGCCCCTTTTCATTGGATTCTCTGCCAGTGGTCAGGCAGCCATAGGAATGCTTGGAAAGCAGCTTTTATCTGTGCACGTGGGTGGGTATGCGTGAGTGAACCTTCTTGCCTCGGGCAGTACAAGCAGCGGTGGCAGGGTGGATGCAGAACTGGCAACCGGAAGTCCAGGGCAGCAGAGAGAATTTTGCTCCACATGGTTTTGTAACACGGGCGTTGCATCCAGCCTTTCGCTCAGTTGTGAACTGACTCTGAAGAGACGTGGCTGGAAATACAGCATCTAACAGCAACCGCCAAGGGCTTGGGGTGAAAAGCCCTTGTGGCTGGAGGGCACAATGATCTTCTCTTTTGGTCCAGTCACATTTCTAAAGGTGCCGAACTAAGACCTCAGCAGGTTAGTGGCTTTCCAATAGCTAGAGAATGGTTCCTGGAAGGGTAGTTATAGGAGAAGTTTTCCACATTGTCTCCCACCAGCTAGCCTCATTCATGGGCTAGAACAGCCCTGGGCAAAATATGGCCCACGGGCTGCATCTGGCCCACCAAGTCACTGGATTCGGCTTGTGGATGCAGTGGGGAGCCCCACGCAGGCTCCTCTGCTTCCCCAGAGCCCTGCGTGTCATGTGCTGATGGGTGCTGTTCCTGTTTCAAAACTGGAGGGGAGGGGGAAAGCTTCAGGAACCGCTCCCAGCATAATCCCATTAGCCAGTTTCTGGCCAGAAAGTAGCCAATGGGAGCTGTTTGTTTGAATAACAGGCAGCCAAGAAGAATTACGCCCCCTTTCCTCCGTTCGGTTATTCACTGAAACACATGGCCAGGCAGACTGGCTGGCTGGGAGACATTTTAAGCTCTGCAAGCCTTAGCTTTGCAGTCAGTCAGGCTGGCTGCTGGCTGGTAAGTCTCATGGCCACAGCCTGCCTCTGACACCCCATCCCCTCCCTGCCCATACCCTCTGCTACCTCCACTCGACATACCCAAACCCTCTGTCTCCCTCTTGCACCCATACTCCCTCCCAGATCTGGCACCCCAATCTCCTGCCCCAGATCACAATCCCCTCTTAACCTAGGTCACATCCCAACCCCCTTCACTCCAGTCCCCTGCCCTCAGTCACAATCACCTCCTTCACCCAAACTCCCTCCCAGACTCCAATCTCCATACTGCACCCCAGTCCCTTACCCAAACTCCCCTCTACACCCAACCTCCATCCCAGACCCCACATCTCCTCCATTAATATCATAAAAGAATGCAGCCCTCGACCACTTTCCAAAATCTTGGAATGCCCCCCCGTCAGAAATTATTGCCCACTCCTGAGCTAGAAGGAGACCTCCCGAGCTAGAAGGGGTAGGAGGTTAGCTTACTCTTCATGGCTCTTTGGCTTCTTTTCCAATTAACGTTATCAGCTATTTGCTGCAGACGGCTCTGGCCACTTTATTACTATTTATATCTCACTGTAACCATTCAGGATGCTTACAATACCCTTACCCCCACCCTCAAAGAGCCTACTGCTCAGAGGCAGAAATGGGTAACCACTCTGAGAGCAAACCTTAGTCCTGGGTGGTCATTCTAGTAGCTGGAATGAATTCAAGGGACAGACGGGTCTCAGGGTGGTCTAGGAAGAAACTTGCTTGCCAACTATTAATTGGGAGGCTGTTCCAAGCATGAAGGGGACCACGTGAAAGAAGGCATGGGGCTAGAGCGGACGATGGAAGCGGCGGGTGGGTGGACAGGGACGAAAGTACGTTTTCACAGTCACAGAGTTTAAGGCCAGAAGGGACCCGTCAGACCTCTAATCCCACCTTCTCCATGTAGCCCAAGGTCCAGGGTGCTTCAGAACCAGCCCTGCAAACCACAAGTTGTGGACTACAAACTATGACGTGGGGAGAACTTCCTGGTTCCTGCCAGGATGTGCCCTCTGCCCCCCAGCAGGGTCTCATCAGGGAGTGTGCTGGGGGCATGTAGGCTGCATGCAGAGGAGGAGCTGCTGAACTGTGATCCTATTCTGTGTTTCTTACAAGCTGCTGAACTGTGATCCTGTTCTGTGTTTCTTACCGAATAAAGCCCGTTCCTGATGGTTTGTCTGAGTGGGCCTGGTCTGAGGTGCACACACCCTGACACACAATGCAGAGCACACCAAGGAGCCTCAAGGCCTGGCCTCCCACAGCTGTGTAAAAAGTCACCAGGCTCCCCCTATGTGGAATAACCTCTTGCTGGGCTAGTGAACAGGAGGGGCCACATCTACATCACAGGCCATCAGCACCAGGCCGTACAACCATGACAATGGAAATGAGACCAAAGTCTATGAGGCTGACAGCAAGACTATTATGTGCTATGGGCAGAGAACAGGAAATCCTGTCTGCTCCGTGGAGTTTGGCCAGCAAACTATTTTTCAGTAGCTCCAGTGTGCAGAGTAAAGAAGATCCCAGAGTCATCTAATCATGTATTACTCTGCTTCATCACCTCCGCAGACAGACCCGGGCACTGACAATTAAAAAGCAACATCTGCTGAAAGAGGAATTTATGTTGTGACCTCTTCCTCCCCATTGTGCTGAAACCAGCAGGTTTGGGTTTCCTTGCTAGGGCCGCGCGACAACAACTGAAAACTTCCCCCAGCTTTTCCCCGCCTGCCTTTCCGTGGTCATGACTCTGTTCCCCCCATCGAGGGAGCCAGAGCAAACGTCAACTACTTACTGAGCTCACAGAGCAGTGGTCCGATTCGCTGTTCTCAAAGAGAATGACGTCTTTGACGAAGACAGCGATGGCTCTCATGATGAAAGACATGAAGAGATGCATGTGGATGTAATTTCGTGTGCAGTGCAGTTTTCTGTTGGGAGGGGAGATCAAGAAAGAAGCATTTTTAAACAACAGGGCTTCCTCAAAAGATATTACTCTTTTGACTGGATTTTGTTGTGAAAAAACTTCTGCTTTATGCAGAAGGTTTCTGCTGTCCATATTTTGCCAAAAAGTTGACATTTTCCTCAGGACAAGCTCCATTTTCTGAACTGCTCTGGCCAGAATTTATAAATTGTTGCATACTTTGTACGGCAATGTGGATTCTATTTCCGCTTGTAAGATATAAGTGAGGGTAACTGACATGAAGAGCAACCCTGTTCTTGTTCTGTCCCCTCGGCTTCAGCAGATTGTGAAGCAATCGGATTGAGGAACTCTGGTTTTCAAGTGGTATTTCCCAGCAATTAAAAGCAACAGGCCTCCTAGCCTGGAGATGGACAAGTTTTACAGCCCTAAACAACATAATGGGCTTGATTCTCAGTTAATCTGTTCCTGCGCTTTGGAGGGGTGGAGGTAAAGTGAATGTGCAGCAAAGATGGTTCTCTGTCTTTTGGGGCCATGAAGGTGTCTGTCCAACCCAGGTGTAATTGACAACAGTCTTGGGGCTGCTCTAATTTGCATTCTGAGTCTTACAGTTCCTGGTAGCTTCTAGTGCAGGGTGACATGGGTGCACTTAAAATCCATCCCCAAAGCAGTGGGCTGGGGGCAGAGCTGATGGAGAGCCCCTAACTCAGTTCTGTGTCTGTCAGGGAGGCCTTGTGAGAGGGGATATTCTCTGGGGGTTGCTCCTGAAAGCTTTATTTGTGCTGCCACTGTGACCTAAATGGGTCTTAGCTTAACTAAGAATCGGGTCTAATCAGCCAACTGTAAACAGCACTCTTAAGGAACGTTGCATGGATGGCTGCAGGGGACACCTTGCTATATACTTCAGCCATACACTTGTCTGGTAGTGCTGGGCAAAGTCATTTGGAAGCAGTGGACAGAATACTCTGGAGCATTTAAATATCTCATTCCTGGGAGGAGATATTTTAGCTTGTGAAATACTTTCACCCGGGCAACGGTGGAAGCCCCATTGTTTGATACAAGATTGGAGAAAAGCATTAAAATGAGACACTTTTCGGCATTGGCTGGAGGGGATGGACTAGAGAATCTAGCAAATCTTTTCTCTCTCTAGATTTTTGGTTCTCTGGTCTTTTCTCCATTCTCTAAAGTCACAATCTCATTTGTATACTTTCTGCCGATCCATTTTTTGCGCTAGGGGCTTTTGCACAAAAACAAGCAGGGTGGAAGTTTTCTTTTCGTGCAAAACCCCCCTTTTCTGCAAGATTTTTATGCCCCCAAAAAGGAGGTATACCGATCTTGCGGAAAAAGGGGTTTTTGCGCAAAAAGAAAACGTCCACACTGCTTGTTTTTGTGCAAACACCCCAGCGAAAAACCGGATCGGCAGAAAATACGCAAATGAGGTTGCTATTTATGCAAATGAGTCCCTCGTTAGCATATTTTTGCCAAGAAAACTCGTAGTGTAGACATAGCTTGAAAGCACGGCAGACATCACAAGCCTTTAAGATCTCGGCCCATTGTCCTACAGGAAAAAGCTGCAAACCGGGCACTAAAACTGGTCCCCGGGCTCCCAAAATTAGCTCGAGCCTCGATTCCTCCTGGGTTGGCCTAACACCCCATTATTGTAATATTAGAGGTGGCTCAATATTCAGCAGTGAAAGTAGGTCAGAGCATGCTGGAGAGCCATGCTGCCTGTTTCTGTTTCACTGAGCTATGGGGAGCAAAGGGTAGGTCTTGCATGCCCCAATGCCAATGGCTCAGTTCCAGCGCCACACGGATGTGACACCCCGAAATGTGTGACTATGTCAATCTTGGAGGAACTTCAACTTTATATATCCCTGCACTGCCATGAGTCATGTCACTCTTGAAAGGGGTGGCTGGGTGTTCCAAGTGCAAGCCACTCCCAGTGTATAGCCAGGAATCTGCTGAGGTCCTCGGAGTTCCTCATCTGTTCCTTCCTTCCGGCACTTTCTCTACCCCTCCACTCCCAGATTCTCACCTGAAGAGGCACAAAATGATCATGGCAGCAGTCAGAGCGACGAGAGAGAGACTGTGTCCGATGGTGTAACCTGTCTTCACCGTGCCATAGAAATTTGTCTGCCAACATGGAGAAAAGAGGCAGCGATTAGAACTTTTTAGGAGCCATCAAAGATTCCTCCGAAACAAACACTTCCTACAAAAACTAGCTCACCTGGGTAAAACTACCCCTTTCAAGTGTCACATGACAGAAGGCATGATCTAAAACCCAGGGAAGCAAATGGAAACAATCCCATTGATCTCAAGAAGTCTTGGATCAGACCATAATTATACAGTGATTTTATAAAGAAGAGAGTTATCCAGGGTGTAGTGTTATTTATTTACCCATAGAAGTGGCTACATGGTGATATTAATGCCGAAGGGGAATGCTTTATATTCAGTAATACTAGGGTATTGGCAAGAGAGAACACAGGGTGGAGATAGAGAAGGATGAAAATGAGCTTTATTTCTTCAGGAAAAAAAAAAGACTTTTGGAAAAAAAAATGAAACCCCAGAATACTTCACCTGAACACACACATATTTTGATTCAGAAATGTTTGTGTGGTGGTTCATGGGAGTTGTAGTTTGGGGGCTTCAGGATTCTATTCTCTTCTATAGGCTGGACTCCTCGATTGGACTACAACGTCCATGATGCACCACAGTCTCTCCCTCCTGGAGAAGGAAGGTGGCATATTCCAAGAGTTCATGGTCCTGCTGCATAGTGGGAGATGTAGTCCAGGTGGGGAGGTGTGTGGGCTTTCCCGCCCTTGTCCCCAGGTACAGAGGAGGATACTAAGATAGAGTTTACATAATCTACTCCATGTCACAGAGGGAATTGGGAACTTGACTGAGTCCTGTGCTTGGGTCACTAATCCATTACTCAGACTAAAAAAGAAAGGGATTATATTTTATTAATGAAAGCTAGGGACTGCAGGTCAAGAGTTCTGACCCTCGCTCTGCCATTGATTCTCTGTGTGTTGCGAGGCAATTTGTTTAATCTCTCCATATCTTCCCAATTCCTCACGAACACCACCACTAATATCATGGGACGTTTATGAAATTAATTAGTTTGGACCAGACTCTGATCTCTATGCCACGGTAGTTGCCAAGATAACGACATTGACTTCAGTTGAGTAATTTCCATGTTTACCCCAGGCTAATGGAGATCAGAATGATTCCACTGATACTTGTAAAGAGCTTTGAGGACATAACAGTGTCAGTATTAACTTTTTGTGCAGTGTTGCTCCCCAAATGCACGGTTCTGTAGAACACCAGGAGACCGATTTGCTCTACATTTCTAGGCCACGTTTACACGGACATCCAATGCATCTACAATTTGCACACTTAGGTGCCTATCTAACAGTGAGAGTGATTCATCACCAAAACAATTCCCCAAAGGTCATGGTGGTTTCTCTGTCATTGGCAAGTTTTAGACGAAGACTGCATTTTTTTTTAAATAGATGTGCGAGTTGCAAAGGAATTACTTTGGGGCATATTTCTGGCCTGTGTGATCTAAGAAGTCAGACTAGATGATCACAATGGTTGGTTCTAGCTTTGGAATCTATGAATCTAACTCCATAAGAACATCTGAACAGCCACACTGGGTCAGACCAAAATATCATTGAGCCCAGTATCTTGTTTTCTGACCAATGCCAGGTGCACCAGAGGGAATGAACAGAACAGGCCATTATTGAATGATCTATCCCATGCCTCTCTTATTTGCACAAAAATGGGAATTTGCACGCACCCTTCCACGTAATGAATGCAAAATGGGCTTGTGTTTATCAATACAAGCATTTTGAAGAATCAGACCATAGATATATCCTGTAAAGCCACAGATATCACGTGTGTGCCACTTGGATGCTTGCACATTCCATGGGCTGGCTAGAGTTCAGGAATAAAGTCTTCCAAAAAGCGCTTATGCATATTTCATACTTTTCATGTTGTTTTGGAGTTGTGCTTAGCAGACATTAAAAATTCAGGAGACGTTTCAAGCATGCATGACTATCACCCGAGGGCAGACCTCACATCTCACTGGCTGATAGACTCTGCCTTCCTCCCTCTTTCTAATCCTCTCTCTTCCTGCCCCTCCACAAAGAGATAGCCAACTCAACAAATCACGTTTGTTCGCCTCCACACCCGAGTAACGTACAGCATGTTACGGCCTAAGCCATGTTTTGACTCAAGCCTCATCACAAACTTGCGCGAATCAAAAGAAAATAATTAAGAGAGAATTAAAAGAACCCAGTGTGTGTTCTCTTGGTAACGAGGCATTTGTGCAATGCTGAAAACCACTGGGTCTTCAAAGCCGGAATTCCTCAAATCCCCTTGTGGTCAGAACACAAACTAG